TTTTTTTTTTGGCAGAAAAGGCTTTTTTGGGGTACTTCAATTGCTGAGATATGCACTTATCGGGAAAAGGGGGTGAGGGGAGGCCCCGGGCAAGGTGGCAGTGATGTTTGTTTTATCAATTTTGTACAAGAAATCTAATCAGCTTTTTCCTAGAACAATTTAGTTTGTTATTGTTTGCGCTGTTGCTGCTGCTGAACAATGGGTTGCGGTCGTGTTCGGACGAAGACAGTGAAGAAGGCATCGCGTGTGATCATCGAGAAGTACTACACCAAGCTAACGCATGACTTCCACACCAACAAACGGATCTGCGAGGAGATTGCTGTGATTCCGAGCAAAAAAATGAGAAATCGCATCGCGGGGTAAGTTTTTTTCCCCTCCTGATCACCGGATATTCGTCAACAAATCGTCGCAAACTCGCAAATCATCAAAAATAATAAACGGGCACCTTCTCCTCGTCAAGAACGTTGTGTGGATGTTTGATTGCTCATAGAGGAAAAGAAAACACTTATTAGTTGCTAGCATCTGTCTGGAATTACGTATCTCCAGTTGGTACCCATCGCCTGTTCGATGTATGTGTGCTGCCTCTTCAAAATAAGCTTTGGACGTGTTGGGTCCCTGGGTGGTCTATGACTGCAGCAGCGGAAGACAGTGGAAAGTGTCAGTGCTTTATTTACTAGTAAAAGCTTCATTTGAATGAAACGAGTCGGGGCGTCGCACAAAATATCCAACGAAGCGAGGACGTTAGTTGTATCGTGGGGTAGCTAATTGGTAGCGCTAGTCGTGTCAAGGCGAAACGCGTGTTGGGTCCGAGACCCCGACCCCCAGGGTTTTTGGAAGGCTTTATAAGGGGCAAATTAATGGAGGGCAAAAGGAGTTAGTAAGTGGAGACGTAGGTAAAGTAAAATATGGGATTATTTAGGATATAGTAGAAGTGTTAGGAACTAGTAAGTGGAGGGAAGTAGGCCGAGCGAAAACGTCCACGCCGAATGTTGCATCCAAATTAGTATGAAGAGAGGAGCTGCGATATGGAGATTCACCGTTCCGCAGCGTTACAGCTGATTTCCTGCGAGATCGCAAGGAGAATCAACTGTGGCTTAGGATTACAAAGGTATTAGTTAGTAAATAAATGGCAACGCGCAGCAGACTAGCCGGTGCGATCATGCGTTTTGTGCAATTCAGCCCATCGA